TCCCACCCACCCCCTTTTTAAAAGAAAGCAAACTGTCCATTTTGTCTATTTCTAAGATACTTGAAATTCTAATTTAACAAAATCTCACACTTTTGGAGCTCTTAGGCTAGGATAAAAAGGAATAGATTGACTGTAGATTCATATGACATCCTGTTCAGAAAACTGATCTCAACTATGTGTGTGCTTGTTCCAATCCAGACCATGCTGAGTTACAGCCTGGGGGACAGGGAACTGGTGACGAGAACTGCTGAGTGAAAGGATGGCATGGATGATTGTGAATTGTGCTCCTGTAGTGTTTTTCAGATGTTTTTGACTGCAGCTCATGGTCAGAAATGTACTTTATACATTTACATGTATTTTTTTTACTAAATATGCAAGCAAAGCACATATGTATAACATATTTATTACATTATATATTTTTAAATAAGCTATATATACAGAAGTTTCATAAAACAGTACTTGCCCTTATTGCATGTGGTGTATTCTGATATTTTGTATTTGAATTTGGTATAAACCATTAATGAACCAATAAATTGAATTCACTACCCATTTTTGGGTCTCAAGCTATCGTTTCAAAAATACCAATTTAAGGAATTGGTGAAGGTGCTTGGCATGAGAGGACCCAGGCAAGGGCTAGAGGAAGGTGGAGAAAGGTGGGAAAGACTTACTTCAAAAGATCAACTAAACTGGACTTAATAGCAGTAAAATCAAGTACCTGAGTCAGGGCTCCATCCTAGAACTTGGGCTCAAAAGTAAGCACGTAAGAGTGCCTATGCTGATCTATTCTTCATCGTCACGGTTGTCCTTACCTTGTCAAGGATAGTTGTTTGTGGAAACTGAGTTTTCTTTCTTTTTTTTTTTTAATTATTTAAGACCTTTATTAACAGGTACTTGCAGTTTGTTGACTTTTTTCAAAAAATCAAGTTTGTGAACTTTTATTACAAATTAAAAACGAAGTTCTTAAAAATCTCAACTTGACCAGATATGAAACAATTTAAAAACCTTTAAAGGCATAGAGAAAAACCAGGCTTTTTTTTAAAAAACACATTTGTTATTACCAAAAAAGACATCTTTAGGTAAAAATAATAAAAACCCCATGCTGCATAGATAACGCAGATAGTTCTAGTTATCTGGTCAATGGGCAAAAAGCAAGCACTTAAGGTCTTCAGTTCCAATCTTTTCTTCATTTCTTATTGCTGGAATTTCATATTCATTTCTTGTTGGATGACTAAACTGGACGATGGTAGAGATGGTAAGCCGGCATTTACTCAGCCCCGCCCTGCTCAGCCTCGGGAGCGGATGAATTCTCAGCTGGTGGATCGGCTGCTTTTGTCTCTTTGCCATCTTGTGGTTTAGGGTTTTCTGGGCGTCTGTGTCGGTAATTGAAGTTGCAGCGGTACCGAAGTTGAGGCGGCTGCTGACCTTGGGTCTCATCTCCTTGATTCTCTTTATCCTCTTCATTGCCGTCCTCTCTGGGCTGTCTTTGGCGAGGAGGGCCCCTGTGGAATCGTGGTCTATAACCCCGATACATATTCTGTCTTACTGGTGGTCTACCTAGTTCTCCTGCACCCTGGTTGTCAGCACCCTCCATCACTTCTCCCTGTACAGGAGGGTTGGAATACTGTGGTCAACGCCCATAGGGTCTCCGCCTGTAGTAAGGTGGGAACCTTCGCCTGCGGTAGGGCCGGCGTTGTTGGGCCTGGCCTTCAGGAGCACTCTCCGATCCCTCATTCTTTTCCCCACTCTCATTGTTCTGATAATTCTGCTGGTAATTGCGTGGAGGACCCCTGCGACGTGGATAGCGTCTATAATGGTTAGGGTCTGCTGCATATTTACTGCCTTGAACTGGAATTCCACCAGGGCCTGTAACATTTGCTGCCTCCGCACCCTTTTCTCCTTCAACAACATCAAACTCCACAGTCTCTCCATCTCCTACACTGCGAAGGTACTTCCTGGGGTTATTCTTCTTTATGGCAGTCTGGTGTACAAATACATCTTCCTTGGTGTCATTCCTGTTGATGAAACCATATCCGTTTCTTACATTGAACCATTTTACTGTCCCCAAAACCTTTGATGCGATGACCTTTTTGTCCCTGCCGGCAGGCGCCACCGATGTAAGGCCGCCCGGGCCACCGCTCCCTGCACCGCTGCCCGTGGTGCCGGGCTTGGTGGGGCTGCACAGGGCACTCTGGGGTCCGCTCTCCGCTCCTGCTACCGATTGAACTGAAACTGAGTTTTCTTTAGGTTATTTTAGTCATTTGTGGTCTACCTTTAGTATGAAATAACATCCTTAAGCTTTAGTATCCTTAAACTTTATTATTGTGTATTGATTATAAAGTAGAAGCTCGTTTACTGTTTCTATCAATTATTTCTATGTAAATTTATAGCCACCTGTAATTATAGGACAAGGTAAATGCATATTGATAGTCATCTGTAAGACAAAAGATCTCACCTACATTAGTAGCTAATTGTCCTTCATAATTGGAACATGAAGAGGATGCCACTTTCCTATCTTGCTAATGCTGCTGCTTTCAGGCATTAGCAGAAGATTTCGTTTTACATTCTGCACAGCAGAGCATCTTTCCTCTGGTGGTTTATTGTTAGCTTTCAAGTGATCACACTTAGGCTCTGGTCTCATCCTCATTAAGAAGGTTGCCTATTTGGGGGGATTAGAGGAAGTTTCTGAAAGTAAGGTAATGGGGCAGGAAAAGATTTTCTGGGATAAAAGGCTTCTAAAGGCTCTGAGGATATGGTGGAGGGAAAAAATGGAAAGAAAAGGGAACCAGATTTTCCTGGTTTGGGTATTAGTTTAAGGAGAATATGACCTCGATTTATAATGAATTTATAACTTGATGCTTAATGGAATTGAGTTTTTAATATTTATAGCATGTTATGTAAATGCTGCCCCTCCAAGTACTTTCTTAAATCCTCTTAACTTATAAATGACAGCTTTGATTTCTAAAAAGAAATAAAATCTTTTCATTTATCCAGCCTTAGAGTAGTAAACAATAGGTGCTAATGCCGTTCTTTCATGTTAGCCCCCAAAGACTAAGACTTATATTCTAAGGAGTTTATTGCTGTGCTTTTGAGCTTATTAAGGTCATGTGTAACTTGAGGGGTGAAAAGCTGATGCTGCATTTTTGGTACAAAGGCTGGAATTCTGTGACATGCCAGTTCAGCAGTGCTCAATAGGTAAGTTGAAAATGTGGTATTACAAAAACTACACACATGGCCCTTTTGGAATTGCTACACTACTTTTTTCTACTGACCAAGATTGTTAGGGAATTAGACTTTTGCCTAAATCATTTTGAATTGAGTTTGTGCTACAGGACCCCAAGGTTGTAGCAGTAGAGCGGATGTGAACTAATGGAGCTATGTGCTTGGGGTCATTGTGAATCATTTCCCCCTTAGCTATACTTGGTGACATCAGTTATTTTAGAGGGCTTTGTAAAAATGTTCCTACTGTCTGGGGCTTTCAGGAACACATGTAGAGGATCTGGAAGAATTAAAAGGACCAGGGTACTGTTGAGCGACTTCCCAGTAGATTCTGAGAAAGTGGATTCAAACAGACTGTATAAACATGTCCTGCTTAGAATAAAGAAAATAGACAAATTGATTTGGTAATAGCTTATCCACCTGGACTCATCTATCTAGAACGTAGCTGAGCACCAAGAACTTCTAAATAGTAATTTATGCAGCCAAAATAGATATCACCAAGCCTTTATGCACAGATGTATCCACTCGGAGCTTATGTACACTTATGTATCAGATCTGGACATGTGGTTTCCAAGCTGATCTGTAGATTTTGAAAACAGAAAATTAAAAGGGGTAAGAGGAATATAGTATAAAAGGAATGGCACGATAAAGTGACAGCTAACACTTTTAAAGAGAGCTAGAAAAAAAATGGAAAATACAAGATAAAATCACTCAAAAAGTGTCACCATCTGTTTCATTTAGGATCGAGTGCATTTTACTCATGGCAAAGGGATTTATAAGATTTCTAGGGTGTGGTATTGGAATCTGAAAGTTTGAAGTATTTCTCTGGTAATTTTTATGCATTCAGGTGTGGTATTTCTATATATATGCTTGAGTAGGGCAATTGACCCTGGGGATGACCTCTATTCATCAAGAGATGGTACATTCTGCTTTTAGGAGGACAAAGAATTATCTACTAACTCTTAAAATATTCCCAATCAAAATGTTTAAGATTAAAATTTTGATGTTTTAAGCATCAAGTCCTCAGCTCTTTAAAAAACTTGACTCTTCAGAGTCTTATTCACTGAAAGATTGACATTTTATTGCATGGGAATATCACACCACATAGAAAATATTAATTTGTATTATAAAAAAGTCACAGTTGCCTTATAAGCAGTAAGCTCTTCAAGTACTTTATAAATAACACTTTATGTATATTATTCAGTTATAAAAAATTAACTTGCAATTCTCAGAAACACATCTGAACATCTGTAGCACTTTGTGTCTGTACCTCTCCTTTGCAATTTATTATATTATCATTTTGCTTGTTATAGCCCATCTTCCTGGACATAAAATATGGTCTTATGTTTCCAGTTCCTTGTATATAGCAGATCCCAATAAATGTTTATTGAATGCCTAATAATGAAACAAGTTATACTGAGTTTTCTAATTAATCCTTTACTAACTATGTAAATACTTTCCATTATCTTTTTTTCCCCATTTTTGATTACACACTAAAATCTTTATGGTATTTGAACTGCATTTGATGGTTAGAATTGTCAGAACACTTGAATTGCTTCTTTATGCCTTTCTTTTCCCTTACTGAACTAAAGGGTGGAAGCAGCATGAGGCATGTGGAATGCGAATAGGTTATGGGCTTCAGATGAAGCTCTGAAGTGTGTTTTCATGGCAGGTGTGTTCTTGCCTTGATGGGGTCACTGCGGTGAGGCTGGGGCATGTTGGGGAGGCACGTATCACAGCATCAAAAAGATGCTCACCTGTGCCCACTCTGTCGTTGGTCCCAGGTGACTGTTGAGGAGGTCATGACCACAACTGCATATCTGGACCTTTTCCTGCGTAGCATCTCCGAGCCAGCACTACTTGAGATCTTCCTTCGTTTTATCCTATTGCACCAGCATGAGAACGTCCACATTCTAGACACTCTTACAAGCCGAATCAACACTCCATTTCGGGTAAGAAGAGCTTCGCAGGAGAGGAACGAACGTACATCACAGAACAGATTTCAGAAGTGTTTGTTTTGGAATGAAATTATAAATATCACTTTTGCTGTCTTTTCCTTGTTTTTTCCTATAGCCATTATGTTTCTTTCTATTTGGGTCAAGATGAACTGAATAGTGTGTTTTGCTGTCAGGAATTCTTCTGTCATAGAAGTGGTACTTACTGCCTTTCATAGGACATTGTTCTTGATTAGTATTGACACTTCTGTAGAACTAGCACAATGTACTTCTGAGGAGGTGAGATGCAGAGGGAACATATGGGCTTATGTGCAGGTAAACCCAAAGAACCAGAGTGTATCAAGTCTGGGCATTAGAGATCATTATTTCTGTCCATGAGTATTTTGAAATTAAAGTCTGAGAAGTTGTGAATTTAGGTGGTCACTATTTAGCATGGAGCTCTGATTAACTTTGAAAATATTCCTTCCTAAAGTCTTCTTTATTTAATTATAATTATTGTTTTAAAAGCAGAAGAATGATAATTTGACAATACATCATTGAGTTTGTAACATATATATAGATGTTACAATATAGATGTATAGATATAATATGTACAATAGTAATCACACAAAGAGAGGAGAGAGACTAGAGTTATGTGGGAATAATATTCTGTCCTTAACTAGAACTAATTTAGTATGAATTTGAAGTAAACGCCAATAAATTAAAATGTATATTGGAAGCCCAGAGCAACCAGTAAGAAAATAACTAAAAAATAAACAAGTAAAAAAATCATTAAAGGAATAAAACTGTTACACCAGAAAAAATATTCATGTAACATTCCAGCTAACAACAACAGAATACACATTCTCCTCAAGTGTACATGGAATATTTTCCAAGACAGACCATATGCTGTGTCATATAACAAGCCTCTGTGATTTTAAAAGGATTAAAATCATGCAAAGTATATTCTCCGATCACAGTGGATTGAAATTGAAAATTACTGACGAAAAGAAATTTGGGAAATTCACAAATATATAGAAATTAAACAGCACACTCCTAAATAATCAGTAGATCAAAGAAGAAATCTCCAGGGAAAGGAGAATTTACATTGAGATGAATGAGAATGGAACACATACCAAAGCTTATGAGATGTAGCATTGTTTAGAGGGAAATATGTAGACATATGCTTTAAAAATGAAGAAAGGTCTCAAATCAGTACCTAAGCTTCCACTTTAACACTGGAAGAAGAAGAGCACCCTTAAAGCAAGCAGAAAGAAGAAAATAAGGATAAGAGCAAAAATTAATGAAATAGAAAATGGAGAAATAATAGAGATAATCAACAAAACCAAAAGTTTGTTTTTTTGAAAAGATTGACAGAATTGACAAACCTTTATTTAGACTGACCAAAAGACAAAACTGAAATTTCTAAAACCAGTGATGAAAGAGGGGGATAATACTATTGACCTTATAGAAATAACAGCAATTATAAGGGAGTACTATGAATAACTGTATGCTGAAAGATAACTTAGATGAAGTAGACAAATTATAGAAAGACACAGACTTCTGAAACCGATTCAGGAAGAAATGGGTAGTTGGGAGTTTTCACCTAATCTTGCCACTCTGTGCTGGGGAGGGAGAGGGGCTAGGACAGGGAATATGCCACCAATTTTCCTACCCACTTCGATATGTCTCTTCTTGGCTTCATGCTGCAACCTCTTAGTTAGTTTTTGTAGTTCTTACAAAGGCAATTTGGTCCACAGATTTTTGTTAAGTCAGTGTCTCTGTGAGGAACTGAGGGCCTGGGGCTTCCTATTCTACCCTCTTACTGACAATTACTTTTTAATTTTTCTTTAAATATTTGATAAAATTCACCAGTGAGCCATCTGGGCTTTGGTAGTTCTTTATGGGTAGTTTTTTATGGGTAGTTCTTTATGGGTAGCTTTTTAAACTACTATTTTAATCTCTTGGCTTGTTATAGTTATAGGTCTATTCAGATTTTCCATTTCCTAATATGTATGTGCATTGCCAGGGACACTGAATAGCCAAAAGAATCTTGGAAAAGAAGAAAAAAGTTGGAGGGTTCACACTTCCTGATTTCCAAACATATTATGAAGCTATAGTAATCAAAACAGTGTGGTGGTAGCATAAAGACAGACACATAGACCAGTGAAACAGATTAGAGAACGTAGAAATTGGTCCTCATACTGTGGTCAAATAATTGTCAATAAGGCTGCCACTACCACACAATGAGGAAAGGACAGTCTCTTTAATGAATGGTTCTGAGAAAACTGGATCTCCACATGCAAAAGAATGAAGTTGAACCCTTACCCTACATTATATGCAAAATTAACTGAAAATTGACCAAAGACTTAAACGTAAAACCTAAAACCATAAAAATCCTAGAAGAAAACATAGACAAAGAGCTTTGTGACAGTGGATTTTATAATAATATCTTGGATATGACACCAAAATCACAGGCAAAAATAGATGAGAGTATAGCAAACTTAAAAACTTTGGTGCATCAAAGGAAACAATCAACAAAATGAAAAGATAATTACAGAATGGGAGAAAGTATTTACAAGTCATGTATCTGATAAGGGGTTAATATCCAGAATGTATCAGAAATAAAAATTTTGTGCTTCAAAGGATACCATGAAGAAATTGAAAAGACAACCCACAAAAATGATAAAAAAAATTTGCAAATCATATATCTGGTAAGGTACTTTTACACAGAATCAGGAATTCCTACAACTCAATAATAAAAGGACAAATACACCCTGCTGAGGACCCTGAACAGTGATTTTCAGGGGTAACTATGGCACTAAATAAGAAGGATATCTAACTGAGTTTGGGGAAAGAAGATGTTGGATGGTACTATTGTGAGAAAGAACATAAAGATTTCCTAGGGGAGAGTTGATGCCTAAACTAAAGTTTCTCAGAATAAATAGGAATTAGCCTGTGGAGGAGGCAGGAAAAGGCATTCCAGGTAATGGAGCAGTATGTGCAAAGACTTGGAATGGAGTCAAGAGCATGTTGCTTATGGCTAACTATAAGTATATGGTCTGCCCTGAGCATAAGAGATGTTTTGGGGAAGGCCAAGAACAGATGTTTCTTTATAACATCATAGTGGATTTCATCGAACAGGTTTTATACTCATCTTGCCTAGAAGACAGACGGGCATTTATTCTTCTGTACAAAGAATTAGAGCCTAAATTACTTAAATGGCCTGGTATATTGATAGAAGTTTACTCTCAAAAAAGCACAATGATTTTATAATATACCTTTTGGACATCTATGTGGCAGTTTATCTTTCCTTTTTGGAAATCAAAGATTGAAAGATTTCTTGTTTTTGTGATGAACTTCTTAGAAAAGTACATTATCTCACCCTCAACACTTTAGGAAATGTATCCAAGGAGAATGTTTTCGCCAAAGCCAAGAGAGGGTCTGAGGCTTGGGGCTGAGAACTCTGAAGGGCGAATTGGCCAGGTTATATGCAATTTTCTGTGAGCCCTATCTTGTAAATAACCAATATCATATTTGGAAATAACTTAGGGAAAGAAATTACGTACACAGGAGATTGTGTGTGTTTGTGTGTGTGAGAGAGAAAGAGAGAGAGGATAATTCTTTGTAATGGCATAATTCCAGACATTGGCTTCCTAACCAAATCCTGTGGAAGAACTGATATCCTGAATATATATTCTCTCTGGAAGAAGCATGCTTTTTATCAAAACTGCTTTTTTTTTTTTTTAAAGAGGCCGTTTTATTTTATAATTCTGATATATTTCCCATCTGTGGGGAGTGGAGTTATCATTCCAGTATCTGAAATGGAATGTGTGTTTGTTGCTTCCCAGCTCTGTGTGGTGTCCCTGGCCTTATTCAGAACTCTCATTGGTTTACATTGCGAAGATGTGATGTTACAACTAGTTCTAAGGTGAGTTGCCTCTTTTGTTCCCTTTAAAGAAAAATTCCTTCTGTGCTTTATATATTTTACCTTACTTGGGTAACATAAGCTAAGTAGGGGCCAAGGGTCTAAGGAAGAAAATTATTTAGAACATTAGTTTATTTTCTGCATTATTTCTCAAGGTTAATTTTTATTTTACTTTTTCTATTAAAAGTTTTTAGGGGGCCATATGTATTTTATTGTAAACATGCTCCTGGAAACAACAGGTAGAATGCTTGGAAATTTTCAGAAGTATTATGAAAGTTCTTCTGGTCTGTGGCTGAACATCTTTCTCCTATGCATTTATAGGGGATTTATGCTATTAAAAACAACTTTCCAAATATGAATTGATTTTGATATATAATTTTTTTTATTTCTGCTTTGGTTATGGTACACATCTGGTATGCATCATTGATCTGTGAGTATGTTTCAGTTAAATTCAGTAACTATTTATTGAGTACTTTGAGCGTACAATTCAGAAGGGAGTAAGACATGGAGTAGACGGACTGTGAAAATGACTTATATACAAGGTGGCCAAGGTGTGTCCTTCAGAAGTACAGGTGGGAAAGGTTTTACAAAGTAGCTGGTGTTTGAAGGTGGGCATTGGGAGTCAAAGTGGACACCTGTTAAAATGACATTAATTTGGTACTTTAGGTAGAGGACTCAGAAGTACCAAATCCTGTCTTGGCCCAGCAGTGCTTCTTCCTGTCCAGATCCCTGAGGGAAGCTTCTGCTTTTGTGAAGGAAAGCAATGATGCTTCATTATTAACTCAGGATTGGCCTTGGATCCCAGGGCAGAACTCTGCAAACCCCAGGCCAGACCACGGTGCATGTATTTCCTTCTTTTCCCCAAACCCAGATCCTGAATGTTGACTGCTTGAATAAGACCCACCCTTGAACTACAGGAAATGGAGCAAAGGAGGATGTTGCCTCAAAGCTGAGAGGGGAGTGGAGGGGTAGGCCAGAGGAGCTCAAGGGGTTGTGACCAGGGTTTGTGCTCTGCTACGCCCTTGTGGTGGTGTGGGAGGTGACAAAAAAAAGAGTCAACCAGGGTCCTCTAGCATTCATACATCTCTCCTCCTCCCTTGGTGGATTTTCTGACCCTTCATTTGACCTGTCCTTGGGAATAAGGGTGGATGACTGGGGTTCTGACATTTGAGTAGAAGTTACCAAGGAGAAGGTGTTCCAGGTAGGTGCAATAACATTTGATCTGGAAAAGTAAGGGGTGTCAAAGTCCTAGTTAGAAATGCAAATCCTTGGCCTCTTTCCAGATCTACTGAATCAGAAACTGGGGTTGGGGTTCAACTAACTTTATTTTAACAAACTCTCTGGGGAATTCTGATGCACTACTAAATTTGAGAACCACTGGTTTGAGGAATGGTGCTGTGTAGTTGTAACATACTTTCAAAAGGGAGTGATTAAAAGATGAGTCTGAAAAAGTTGGTGGTAGCATATTATGCAGGGCCTTACAGAGTTGTTTTATGGGAGAGTATCACCTATTAATTTTTTAAGTTTAAAAGAGTTTTTGGACTTTTTAGGGTTTTAGATTAGGTCATCAGTAACTAATCTTAAGGCATTAGCAGAGAACAAATCGGATCATAAAGAAACACCCTTAGTAGTCTGGGCAGAGCATTAGTTATCTGTCCTAAAAGGATTACTTTAGCTCCCCAGCAAGTCTCTGCTGATGATATGACAGAATGTATTAGCCAGGCCTGAATGGAATCCAGAAGAACAACTTGGCAAAGCCGTTTCTAATTGCCAAAACCTAGGCTTTTACTCCGACATGTGAGTAAAACCTGATTATATTTAAATGTTAAATTCTTAAATACTGCTGCTTTGATGGCAGGAAAAGCAGCTGTCTTTTCAGTGTTCTTCGAAGCCTGGCCTTGCTGGAGGTGCAGAGCTTCCCATCTCTGGGTCACCAGGTCAGATTTAGCCCAGGTGGTAGAAGCTTTTACTTACTGGCTGTTCAGTGACCTTTACAAAGTGAGCTCTGATCACCTTTCATCTGCTCACGTAGCAGTGCCTGTTGTGTTGAAAACTGTCCTCAGAGATGGCATCAACCATGGCTTCTCTTGAGACCCACACCTATACCTTATGAAGATGAAGAAAGTGGCTGATGGTTGAAATATGTAGATGTCCAAGTCAGGGATGTTCATTCCCAGGGTGAGTAAGGACAAAGAATTTGCCAGGAAAGTGCCTGCAGGGCACATTTTCACAAGCTCTGGAATGGAATAGTGGGGGAAATGCCAGACCTGAGGTTGGGAAATGGGCTTGACCTACTGGGTCTGGGCTCTGTGAGCCCAGGTTTCTTGTTTCTTTGGGATGATAGTCACAATAATGTAACACTATAGTTGCTCTTCATTGAACCTTTACTCTGTTTCTAATTCTTCTGCACTACCTGGAGTAACCAGGAGGAGAGTAAGTGAGAGGACTCACATGTACCGACATCTGTCGGTCAGGCACGTGATAGGCACACAGGAAACCCCTGGTTTCTGGTCTCCTTCTCCGAGCTGCTGAGGTGACTCAACATGCTCTGATTTGGGGATATGTGCTACCTTATAAGATTATTGGGAGGATCACAGTGGTGATATCTGCGAAAATGCTTGGAAACATTGTGAAGTATTATACAAATTTAAGGAAGGGGAATTTTCTGGAAAGTACAAAGGGGACTAATATCCAAAATTTACAAGGAACTCAAGTGACTCAACAAAAATATATGCAAAAATTTCATTAAAAAGTGGGCAAAGGACATGAAAAGACATTTTTCAAAACAAGACATACAAATGGACAACGGGCATATGAATAAATGCTCAACATCACTAATCATCAGAGAAATGTAAATTAAAACCGCAATGAGAAGTCAGCTTACACAGTCAGAATGGCTATTATTGAAAAGAAAAAATAACATGTTGGCAAGGATGCTAAGAAAAGGGAACTCTTATACACTGTTGGTGGGAATGTAAAATAGTAAAACCTTTATGGAAAACAGTATGGGGATTTCTTAAAGAACTAAAAATAGAACCACCATGCAATCCAGTAATCTCACTATTGGCTATCTACCCAGAGGAAAAGAAATCATTGTATCAAAAAGACACCTTCTCGCCTATATTCATTGCAGCACTATTCACAATGGCAAAGATATGGAATCAACCTAAGTGTCCAGCAATGGATGATTGCATAAAGAAAATGTGGTATATATACACAATGAAATACTCTTCAGCTATAAAAAAGAATGAAATCATATGTTTTGCAGCAACATGGATGGAACTAGAGGCCATTGTCTTAAGTGAAACAACTCAGACAAAGAAAGCCACATACTGCATGTTCTCACTTATAAATGGGAGCTAAATAATGTGTACACGTGGATGTATAGTGTGGAATGGTAGACAGTGGGTACATGGAAGAGTAAAGGAGTGGGATGGGGGGGTGGATGATGAGAAATTACTTAATGAGTACAATGTGTGTTATTCGAATGATGGATACCATAAAAGCCCTGACTTTATTGCTACGCAATCTATACATTTAACAAAATGGTACTTTTACCCCATAAATTTATACAAGTAAAAAAACAACTTTGGAAGGAGAAAAAAAATAACGAAAACAATTCTTTTCTGATTTAGAATCTGTATCAAAATCAAGGACAATAAGAAATGTTTATTCTTCTAGTCATTTAAATATTATTTTTAAGGGACATAAAAAATAGATTTATCATGCATCCTTTTTGTTGTTGCTGCCACTGCAGTCATTTGAATGTATGTGATGTCCTTGTAGATCTGAGAGGTAGTAGAGCAGTGAGGATTATGTGGATGCTTTTAATGAAGGTATTTATTATGTGATAAATAATAACCATGTGTCAATTTTCATTGCAACTCAAATACTCTTAAATATCAACATTTCAAATCGATAATCCATTTGTAACTGCTAATAGTTTCTTTCATTTGGCAAAATGTCAGAAAAGTGAGCTGAAATAAGGTGCCCCAAAAGAGAGGATATTCTGGAGAGCAGACAGCCAAGAAGAAATTGTCCACTGCCACAGATGTGACATGCGATAGGACAAAGGCAGGCAGGAAATGCTGACAAGCAGAGAAGTGACAGATCACCACCATGCTCCCAGAATGTCTCAGTAGAGACACAGTTTAATTGCTTAATTGAATGCTATTTCTGAATATTCTGGTTAGGGTGTTTTTTTCAGAAGTGCTGGTCCATTGTTAGGTTTCTGAACTGCATTGCCTATTGTGTTCAGATAGAGGCTGTTTTGCTTGAAGAGAAGCTGTGTGTAATACTTGAGGAACATTTCTATCTTGCATAGGAGTTGGGGGTCTGGAAGAGAGGAAAAAACATGCAAACAAACAAACAAAAAGGGCCAGCCAGCCTGAGGGAAAATGCATAGGAGAAATATGGCCAGAACTTCTTTGAATAACAAATGATGTTTGTGAAATCCACTGGCATTGGTTTGCAAATTTTTGCCTACTGCTGCATTGTTGGGGGTGTCATCCTCTCAGAAGATACACTTCACTTACCTCCTTGGACTCTGCTTTGTTTTGCTTTGCTTGTTTTTGGTCAATGTAGCAGTAGGCAGTACATGTTCTTTGCTATCAGTTGATTGGCACTAAATTATTTCAGAAGTGATGATAACTTAATGAATGATATCCAAGAAAATAGGAAATAGACTCAGGGTTGTAGAGGGGTGGGGAAGTACTGAAAACAGGCAGGATAATATGGACAATGTATTTTTTCCTGTTATGTTGAGGGATGGCTTTGAGGAATCTGGACCTCTAAAGTTAGATACTTGTTAGTCTCTGATCATTTTTACTGCTTCCCTAATTTAATTGAAATCTCCAAACAAAATAAATATAGTAAAAATAAAAAAGATAGTTTGATGATAAATACTTGTACTAAATTTCTAAGTAATTTTTCTGCTATTGACAACCAGTTCATGTTGATATTTGACAGTTGGGGGAGTTTCTTGCATTCCTTCTGTTCCTAATCTTTCCCTGTACATGATGGAAAGACAGAGGGTCAAGGTATGGTTTTTCTACTCTTTCCTTTGGGATGACCCTTCATTTTAAAGGCACAGCAGAACTACCATTTTGTTTTGTTTTCTTTTTTTAAAAATTGATCTTTAATAGTTTATACATTTAAGGGGCAGATGTGATATATATATTGATACCTGTATACAATGTGTAATGATCAAATCAGGGTAATTGAGATATCCATCACTTCCAACATTTATCTTTTCTTTGTGTTGGGACTATTATAGTTCTTTTCTTCTAGCTATTTTGAAATATACAGTAAATTGTTGTTAACTATAATTTCCCTACTATATCAAATACTGGAATTTATTATACCTCTTAACTAACAACTGACTTCTCTTCATCCTTCCCTCTTTCCTCAGCCTCTGGTACCCACCATTCTACTCTCTTCTTCCACGAGATCCACTTTTTTAGCTCCCATGTGTGAGTGAGAACGAACATGTGATACTTGTCTTTCTGTTCCTGGCTTATTTCACCAATGTAATGTCCCCCAAGAACTACTGCTTTGAATACCAAGAGTGGTTATTCATTTGAACAGACTCCTGCATTTCCAATTTCATAGAATCTCTCCTTTAACTCTTAGGGGATTTCCCTGGCTTTGATTTACTCAGAAGAAAATTCTTAGTTTCTACTGAAAGCATATATTTTCAAAGTTGCAAATTCCCAATAACTCTTTATTCTAATATAAGTTCAAGTTACCCACTGGTGATATTTGATAAATGGCTTTATTAGCTTTGATCCAGTGTTCCATTTTTAATACTTCAAACAAAGAGTGGAAATCTATGTATGTTAACTTAAATCATGAAATATGCTTGGTTTGAGCTGTAAGTAGTTATTGAGTTCCTGCAGTATATAAAAGCATTGAGGCAGTTTATTTCTTAAATAATTAATGACCAAAATAAGGATATAATAAATCCTGTGTAATCTGAATTTCCCTAGGCCTCACCAGCGTATGGAAAAAAGGGAGTTCACATCAACAGCCACAGGACAGGGTTCCCCCCCCACCTCAAGTCAGATCTTGGCTTCCTGCAAAGCATTAGCCATTGCTTCCAGGGGTCCTCAAGCGAGAGTCTTACATATATTCATGAACATGCCTGTCTTCCTCCACAGTCACCTCAGCAGCTTCTGCTGTGGTCTCCTGACCTTCTCTGGCTCCTTTTGTTGCGACAACCTCACCTCTATCCCTGCTGTGCCCCTGGCCCCTCCATCTGCCCTTGGTGCCCACTTGGCCCCAACTGTGCCATGTTCAGACAGAAATGGGAGAATACCTCTGTCCCCGTGTCATTCCTGGCCACCAGAGCATCTCTACTCACAGAGGTCCTTGTGAAATAGAGCACCTTCATTTTCTGCCAGTGGCATCCATTTTCCTCCAGTGGGACTCAGATAAAGTCCCCAAAGCTGAGCTGAGCATTAGAGCAGAGCTCCTTCCTTTCCCATTCTGTCTGCCTCCATCTTTCCTTTTCGTTCTTATAACCTTTGGCTTTCATGAAACTGAGCTTATTAAAATAGATGTCACCCCATCAGACATGCATGGTTGTGTCTGGTTCTTAATGGTAGCAGTTTAAGTTTGTACATGCCCACAGGTGCAGTGAGGGGAGGGACTAGGACCCCTTTACCTAGCTAAACAAGGTAGTTAGAGTGCTGGAGAAATGGTTTGCCTTTTTTTTTTTTTTTTAGAACTGAAGGTTAAGTGGCAAGTTTGTCATTTCATATTTGGAAAGCATTATTAAAACCTTTAGTGTAAAGTACCACAACAAGAATTGAATCTTTCTTTTTCTCCTTGGCTCAGGCTCTTGCAGTGGGTCAGGCATTGATATATACTCAGGTTTTCCTCATTTGGATCAGCAGGAGGTGTGGGAAACGGCTTAATGTTCCTAGGCCTTAAGAGACATATACCCTAAAAGTTGTACTTTTTATCTTTTTTTATGAAAAATTTAATCTTAGCTTGTTTTCTTCTGCACTTCTGCTTTCTCAAAGGCTGAATACAGAAACAAAACCATTTTGGTTTATTGAAAAGTTGGGATTATTCCCGTAAGAGCTGTCTCATCTGGAATTGACTCCTGTACACATATGCGACACTTGGCCCTGGCTGAGTCCTTTATCCCATTTGCTCCACCTTTGTTTAAGTAAACAGTATGGTATTTTCCCTGTTAAGAAAGTAAGCCATTTAAACATACTTTATTCTGCCCAGGAAGCCCACTGATGTGGTCCAGGTATGTCAGAAATGATTGCCCAGCTTTTCTTATCTCCAGGTTCATAATGATACTAAAATGCTTTTGATCACAAACCCAAAGTGTTTTGTGTGAAATGGGGCCCAGTGATCCTCAGTGAGTTATTGGCCACCGTATTTTTTTTCCTGGTCATTAATGAGAGCATAAGAAGAGGTTTACACTGTGGGGTGGGTGTTTGCCGCTGCTATTGAGTGCCACAAGGATCCAGAGTTTCTAGGACTATAAAACAAAATATTGAAGAAGGCCCTTGCTGTGGAAGCACATTATATTGAGGAGACAGACACTGAAATGATTGTGGTACAAGGTAACAGTGTTTAATAGAGGCCTGGGAGCATTGTGGAGAGGAAGATGAGCTCTGTCTTGGAGTAGGGAGCCAGGAGGCCTTCGCAGAGAAGGTGACAGACACTGAAGCTGGACTTTGTGGGATGAAAGGTATCTGTTAGGCAGAAAAAAGGAGCACACACTCTAGGTGAAGGGTACAATGGGTAGAAAAGCACAGAGGCAAAAAGGGATTGGTAAGAAATGAAGTTTGTGTGGGGTAAACTGTGAAGGCCCTTAAATGCCCTGCACAGAGGTTCTGTTGGAAGAAAGAAGCACTTGACAAGTATGGGCACTAGGGTATGGCAGGTGGATTGAGAGCCAGGAGAGGATGAGTCCACCCCTGGCCATGACCAGTCCCTATTACGGTTTAGAATGTTAGTCTTGGTGATGGTTTAGGACAGGCGTCCTCAAACTACAGCCCGTGGGTCACATGCGGGTGTTTTTGTCTGTTTGTTTTTTTACTTCAAAATAAGATATGTGCAGTATGTGTAAGAATTTGTTCATAGTTCTTTTTAAACTATAGTCTGGCCCTCCAACGGTCTTGAGGGACAGTGAACTGGCCTTCTTTTTTAAAAGTTTGAGGACCCTAGGTTTAGGACATTGTGGAGACTGAATGTGGCTCTTTTTTGTCATTCTAGGTATCTAATCCCCTGCAATCACATGATGCTGAGTCAAAGGTGGGCCGTGAAGGAGAGAGACTGTTACTCTGTTTCTGCGGCCAAGCTGCTTGCCTTGACCCCTGTCTGCTGCTCCAGTGGAATCACTCTGACGCTTGGGAACCAAGAGAGGGATTATATTCTCTGGTCAAAGGATACGCACGATAGTCCAGGTAGGAATGTGCTGGTGATGATCTTCAAACAAAAGGATGCCAAATCCATCTCTCCTGGGGATGGATGTCTATTCGAATAGGTAGGGAATAATATAGTGAGTCCAGTTTCTTTTAGGAATGACCAATTGGGGGATGCTTTTCTGCTTGTAAGGAGTTATGGACACTTTGTAATGAGTGTTCATTGAAGCACCCACTTCAGGCCAGACCTGTACTTTAAGTGGACTTTCTGGTGACATCCTCTGCTGGCATCCTCCAAGCCCAAATGAATGAAAATATGTAGAGCATGTCTTCTAAAACAAAATCGGGGTGAGAGGTATGGTTATGGCCATAGGTGAGATAGAGTTAGCCTTTACTTTACTTCCCAAAATGCCATTTTTGGAAATATATAATTTCTAAATGATTATATATATCTATTATTATTATATATCATTATAAAACTTGAACAAATTTTTGTGATACGACAACAGTGTCTGATTCATTTGATTGACGTAATGAGGGGCTTTCATAAATACTGCTTTTACAGGTATTATAATACTCAGGTGCTGTTTGCCAGCTATCATACAAGTGAAGTTTAAATGGCCCCTTCTATCAACCTTGGTCCCCTGACAGGCAGTTGGAGCAAGGGGGAATTTGTGTATCTTTGATGGTCATATGGCTGTTTCAGTTCAGGAACATTTTGTTGTCCTGTGACCACTAGGAAATGGTCCAGTCCTGGTGTTGACTCAAGTGTTTCCTATCTGTATTCTGATATCCACCCCAACAATGTCGTTCTGTCCACCCAGCCACACTCCTCTTAGATAAAATAGATTTAAAAGCCAAGTTACTTGACTAAGAAAATATCAGCATATATGATGTAAATATAATTTCTAGAAATTAAGGTTGTCTTGCTGATTCTTGGTCTTTATATAAAGATACAGTTTGTGTGTGGCAATTAACAATTTATGTGGCTATATCTTAACAATATATTATCTTCTCTGTTGGGCAGACTAGTGTGGTTATCTTATATTTTCTTACCTAAGTTATTTTTTAAAACATTTAAAAAGTAATGTTTTTTTAAATTTACCATAACAGTTGTTTCAAGAATGATTTTGTGGCTAACTTTGCCTCAGAATTCAAAATTCAAATTAAACATGATTGTCCATAACTTGCTAACTTCTTTCTCCATGTGATCACTTTTTATGCTTTGAAGAATGTATAATAGTATTCCCACTTTACAGATGAAGAGACAAACTCAGAGGAATTGACTAGGTCAAGGTTATACAGCTGGTAGGTTCTCTGATTCTAAATTCCACGTTCATTCTATTGTCCTGCCACTGGGTTTGTATTAACAGCAGATAAACACCCTAACGGATGGATGGTCACATAGGAGATAGCTAGAGTAATTATTGTGCAGTGGTAAGTAATTTGCTCAAAAAAGTAGAAACCCTAGTCTTGGCTCAGCTACTTTCTTGGGTAAATTACTTAACCTTTCTAAATTTTTTTTTTTTTCTGTAAAATAGTACCTACCTCAAAGGATTATTCTAAGGATGAGTTAAGATATGTAAAACTCTTAGAAGACTGCCTGGTATGTAGTAAGTGCTCAGCAAATGTTGTTTGTAGTAGATAAGAGATAAACACTAACTTTTTAGCAGTAGAGCTGTAGGAAATGAATGATGTCTGTGTACTCTAATCACTAATATGCACCCTTAAAGGCTCAGTTCTGGCCCAGTCTGTTAGAGATTTAGATCATGAAGAGACATGAAGCTTGCACAGGTGTGGCAGTAAGTAAGAATGGAAGTTATCATGAAATAGCCTGTGCTTGAATTGTGGCTCTGCCACAATTTGGATTGGGTATTCTTTCACCTCTGAGCCTCAATTTCTTTATCTGTAAATGGAGAAAATAGTATCTACCATTTAGGATCATTGGGAGAATTAACAGCATTGATAAAGCATCTGCAACATATCAGATGTTCAGGAAATGGCAGAAGAAATATATATACACATACACACACACACACACACACACATACACATATAATTTCCTTGTCTGAGTCTTTTTTCTTGTGAGAGAAAATGTAAACTTAAATGCAGATGTTTTCACAGTTATTTCAGTAATAAAGTTGGAACTTTTAATATCAAAGGCAGTCATGGTAACATAGGAAGCATTCTTAGTGAAAATATCTTCTGTAGTGAATGTAACTTTATTGTACGAGACCAGTTGATATAGTCCCCATAGCCCAGGAAGGCAGAATGAGTTAAGAAGCTTTTCTAAAAACCCAGGGTTTTTCTACAGAAAATCTGGTTCCCAAATTCATGGATTAACTGTCCTTCTACTTTAGATTCCAAAAACTTTTTATTACCTGCCCTGTGGCAGGTACCATATTAGGTATGTTACCTAATTGTTCCATCTCAACAGCCCGAGAGGTTGCCATCGTAGCTCTTCTTTCTCTAGTAACTGAGACCAAATAACTGTTTTCCATTGGTCATAGCTATCTGTGTTGGTTTTATATCTTCTGTGAGGGTAGAGTTTCTATTATTATCTTTCCTTCTTACACCCTAATCATTTTTTATTATTCAGAAATCATTTAATCAGACATTATCAGACCTAAGTAGCTGGTGAGACAAAGTCTTAGCCCAATGGGCCACATCCCCACCCACCACAGTTGTCCCCACACCTCTCTTGTTCTGACTGGTTTCTGCCTCCTGTGCAGGGTCCATGGAGCAGCCGCTCCCGGAGGCATTCTCCCCGTCGGCCTGCATTGTGGAGTATGGGAAAGCCCTGGACATCAGCTACCTGCAGTACCTCTGGGAGGCCCACACCAACATCCTGCGCTGCATGAGGGACTGCCACGTCTGGTCCGCTCTGTATGACGGGGACTCCCCCGACCCAGAGACGTTTCTCCAAAGTCTGACAGAGGAGGGCGGTGTGAGCTCAGCCTGCCCTGTGTTTGGGCTCCCACAGCAACTCCCCAGGAAGACTGGACCTCAGCTGGCTCCCAGAAAGGACAAGACCCAGACGGAGCTGGAATGGGATGACAGCTATGACACTGGGATCTCTTCAGGGGCTGATGTGGGCTCGTCAGAGCCTTATGATGATCTGGAGGCTTCAGGCCCCCCAGCGCCCATTGATCCCCCCAAACATATCCAGGAGATGAAGAAGAATGCCATCTTGCTCTTCAAAGGGTCCTACATCGAGGAGTCAGACTTTCAGGACGATGTGATGGTGTACAGGCTCTGTGCTGAGAAGGACTCTGAGGACACCAAGGATGCTGAGGAGGAAACCGCAAAGCCACCAGCTGAAGCCCAGACCAGGGTTCAGAGTGAACCTATGAACAACGGCCCCCTCCTCTGCCCCCAGCCAGAGATTGATTCAGAGGAGGAACACAATAGGGACAGTTCAGACCTATTTCCAAATGTGTCCAAGGAGCCAAAGCAAGAGAGTGAGCCTGAAGTAGGCCCAGAATCAAACTTAGAGTTAGCACCCCCTGTCTCTGATGCAGAGCACAATTCAAACTTGATGGTTATCAACCCAGAGAGTGAAGATTTCATTGCCCAGTATGACCAGATCATAAAGGAACTGGATTCTGACACCCAGGGCTTGATAGAGCAGACTTTCCCCACACCTAATCCCTTGCTGCTCCCAGAGGAGGAGGAAGGAAAGGAAGAAGAGAGCAAAGGAGAAAAGGAGGAGGAGGAGGGGAAGAAGGCACTAGAAGAGGAAGAGGATGACTTCGACTCTTTCACAGTGGAAGCCCCTGCTGTAGAGACTGTGCCTTCCCCATTTGGGGTGAGAGACGAGACTGCCTTTGCCAGTCACCATCCTGTGAGGACTCAAAGCACCCCGTTCACAGGTGACGATCTTAAATTGGTTTGTGGTTTCTGCTTTTGAAAGTACTTGTACATTTTGGAACAGGAAAATAAGGTAGGTAAAGGTAAGAAGCATCATCAGTTTTCCTAACACAGGGCTGAAAATATTTTTGTAAAGAGCAAAGAAGGGTGGTTTTATTTTTATTTTGTCATTCTTGTAATGATATTCTTATTTCTGTTAGGGGTTAAATTTTACTGTTTAGTAATGTCTCTTGATATGTCTGTGGTCAAGTAATAGGACTGATTAAACCACACAAGAATCCAGTCTTATTTAATCCACATTTCCTTTAGTCTAACTTATTTTTCTTCTTGGCACTTATTTATATGTGTATTTTAAAAATTACTATCTCTCCCACTAGAATGTGTGTTCCATGAGGGCAGAGGTGCTTTTGTTCTCTGCTCTGTCCCTGGCACCCGAACAGGGCACAGGGCATGCAGTCATTGCTCAGCATGCTTGTTGAAAGACAATAGCTGTGTACATATATCAGAGGCCACTGGGGTTAGTTCTCCCTTTGCCTGGGAGCTCATTTCAGATCATTACAAAACCTTTATCCAAAAATAAGCTGAGTAGACCCACATAAACTCATACCTCTTCTAAAGAGTGGGTGTGTGAAAGTGATACACCACCAGCAACAGGTAGAAATCATGTAAGAGGCAAAGGGATAGGACACAGATAAGTACATTGGGGTGAGGAATTGCGATAGAAGACATCATTAGACATTAGCCAGTGAAATGTGAATCTGCAAATTGTGGTGCAGAGGGAACTGCCACAGAGGAGAGGCTTCATTAAGCTCTGGGAAGGCTGGGGACCCCTGCATGGGGTCCAGGGAGCAAGGAGAGGTGCTGGAAGATGCTAGCAACATGCAGGGACAGACAGACAGCAGCTCTGGAGCCAGGCCTGGGTGAATCCAGGCTGTAGCACTTACCAGCCACGTAGCCTTGGCACCCCTGACCCTCCATGTGCCCCTGTGAGGATTGACTGAGACTGGGGACGTCATTCCCAGTGTTATGACAGGGAGCCCCCAGCAGCTTCAGCTGAGTCTTGTCCTTCCCTGGTTAGCAGGGAAAAGCTTGGTGAGGAGGGGCTGTGCGTCCACCTCCCAGGGTCGCCTCAAGCAGATGAAAGCAGATTGCCACCTCCAGCCAGCCAAGTAGGCTTAATGTGACTTCAGAGCTCTTCCACCCCCCTCCTCTGATACTTATTCATCTATTTACTGATGCCTGAAGATTTATATAAACAAGAAGAAAGCTTTTAATTCCACAATTAAAAGGCTTGGGTTCTAGTTGAGATAACATTTCAGTGTGAACAAGTTTTAATTAAAATTCAATCAGTCAATCATAAGTAAAAAGGATTAGATAATCTCACTTTCCCAGCAGATAAGGGGGACAGGGAAGGGAGGGAGGCAGGACAGCTCAGTCAGAGGGAAAGGGGTAGAAATAACCTAGCACACATCACACAGTCTCGCCTTCTTGTAGGACATTAGGGCCACCCGTGGCTAATGAAAGCTGTTCTTTAGAATGCTAGCTTTCTTGTAAAGGAGCTTTATCCCTGGGAAATGTGTAAATTGAGGAAACAAAGTATAGCTTAGGGCAAAAAAAAAAAAACACAAAAAACTAATACAATACCTTACTAAATAACATCAATATTTTACATATAATACACCTGAGAACTGGAAAAGTCTCAAGACATAATGGGAGTTCTTTGATACATATAGGTAATGGTAACTAAAACCTTGCCTTTTTCCTCCTTTGAAACTTGTACACAGCTTCAGGAAACATCTTTTCTCTTTCACTGTATGTGTGCTTTGTAGTGTCCAAACTTCTGAGTGTATTCTGTGCATTAGGCTTAACTTCCTTCTCTCCAGGGAATCTGATTTCCAATGAAATGAATTCACTTCCCAGCAAAATCAAAGCATTCCATCTATCTTATTTTATTTATTCATGTATTCAACAATCTTTTGTTGACCCTCTAGTGTTTGGCAGGTTCTATGCTAGGAAGTAAGCACACAAAATTAAAGGAACTCACAGACTTTCAGAGGAGACACCAACAAAGGACTGTACTGTCTCAGTGAGAGATGCATTATTAGTCGTTGTATGCCACGTCGGATGGGAGCGCAGTGGGAAAGGCGTCCCAGAGGAGGGGAAGTCCCCAGGGGAAAGTGGATGAGAATGATAGTCCAGGCAGAGGAGACAACAGGAGGAAGACCAAGCCTGACAGCCCATGGCGTGTGACAGCATGGATTGTGTGGGCGAGATGGTGGCTGAGGGAGCCAAAAAGCTTGGTTGATGCCAGCTTATGGGGGGCCTTTGGGCCAAGCTGAGAAATAGGGACCTTGTGCCCCTGGCACTGAAGAAGCCCTTGAAGTGTTAAAGCTGGGGAGTAACATGACTGGATCTGGAAAAGCCAGCTTTGGTCACAGTGTGGAGAGAGGACTGGAGTGGGGAGAAGTTGGTGCCAGGAAGAATAAGTGAGAGACTCTTGTCATACCAGAATTCAGGATGCATGAGTGTTTTGATCTAGTAGTTCTGTTTCTAGGAATATTTTCACAGCTGTATTCATACTTATGAGACAAGATATATATACAAGGATGTTCATTTCAGCATTGTTTATAATATTAATAGAAAAAGACTGGAAACAACCCAAATGCCCAAATATCCCCCAGTAGGAGACTGGCTTACTCATGCATCACCCCTAACAATCCAATATTTTGTGGTCCTGAGATGAGACAGCTCTGTATATGCTGGTATGAGGCAATCTCCAGGATATAGTGTTTAAAATACCAGGAGTTACAGAAAGAGAGACACACACATACTCTTATACCCGTGGGTGGCAAGATGATGGATTAGTTAAGGGTACTGGGAACACAGCCCAGCATGGTTGTATGTGCCTGCAGCCCCAGCTACTTGGAGGGCCAAGGCAGGAGGCTGGCCTGAGCTCAGAAGTTTAAAGCTGCAGTGAGCTATGATTGAGCCACTGCACTCTGGCCTGCATAATAGAGCAAGACCCTCTCTCTGCACCACCGCCCTCCCCTCCCCACCAAAAAAAAGAGTACTGGAAACAGATCAGATGATTTGAATCAAAATTCTGTCTCCATTACTTAATAGCTGTAGCTGTTTGCACTTATCCATTTTGCCTCATCTTTAAATAGGGATAAATAATAAATATACTTCCTAGGGTTGTGAATCTTAAGTGAGTTGATACATAAAAAGTGCTTAGAACACTGCCTAGCACATAGGATGTATTTAATACATGTTTTCAATAATAACTCAATTATTATTTTTATTGTATAACAAAATATTTCTGGAACAATACACTAGAATCTGTTAACAGGAGTTGCCTCGAGGGGGTAGGCTTGTTTTTCATTTTATATCCTTACAATGTTTGAAAAAAATTTTTTTAAATCATTTTAATCTCTCTTAAGGTAGAAGCACTGTTCTGGAGTCCAGACAAGAAATGGCGAGACTCTGACCCGAGGCAGTGCTGGCAGGGGGAGGTGGAGATGCAGGTCCACACTTGGGAGATGTGTGCACAGTGCCGAGGTGTAGAATCGCTGGCAGCCCCATCCTCGGAGTGAGGAAATACAGGCAGAGGGTGCAGGGTTGATGGAGGCAGGGGATGTGGGCACGTGAAGGGAGAGAGGTGAATGGCAGGGAGGGGCCGTGAGGTACTGGTGACTCTGAAAAATTAAATATTTTACGGGTATGGAGTTCTTCTGTCCTCCTAGGAGATGTGGGAAGAAAATATACCCAACATTCTCCACATACACCTGTGGCTTTCTAAATTGTAGCTGAGTCTTCTGATTTTCAGCTGCTTACCAGTTTACCCAGCAACTACTTTTTGCTAAGCAGTATTTAAGTGCTAGAAACCAAGTAAGAATAAAACATTAATTTGAAAATGCTCAATAAGTATTTTTGATTGCACATGGCTAACAAGTTGTAATTAATGTTACTAGTGGATATTAATTATAACATCAAAGTAGACTGTTTTATATGACAGTCTACTGGCCTTGACCTAATATTCTGCCATTCAAATGAGACAACGATGACACGCTCTTACTCTCCATGGGGTATGGGGTTTAAGCTGGTGATCCCCCCCCCCCTTAATAGTAGTGGTCTCCCCTGTTCACTGCATGGTCAGCAGTTCAGGGTTTGTAGCATGGCCGGATGAGGCCAAGTACAGTCTGGGACGGAGGAAGAGAAGCTGAGAGATTACATTAGGGACCTAGGAGATGCTGCTCCCCTGATCTGTCTTAATTCACCTGTTTTTGTTCCATCTGGAAGGAAATAGATGCTGATCCCAGGACTGCAGGGGAGCAGGCAGGAGGGGACAGAGAAAGACTGGGCCTCAACTCAAGGAGGCTAGGACAGCAGCCTATAGATCTCCCTAGAAAGCCAAAATTGTGTTGTAATGCCTTAATAAGAGTTTCTAGTGACATTTCTGGGGTTCTTGATGGGAAAATCATTAGTTGCTTTCAAACTGAGGGGTTCCAATCCCGAGTTTCTGAATGTGTTTGGCAAACTCTCCCACTTTTGTTTTGTAAGCGCCTCTGAGGACTCTGTATCTGAAGAGTTCATTGACCTCCTATGTCATGGAAGTAACTGAAGGGCTCAGCCTCCCATCCGAAGAATGGGGCAGTTGAGGCTAAACTTTACAACATGAGGGGGATGGCGCCTCTTCTGTTTTCTCAGACCTCTTAGAGACATCCTCAGTATTCTTAGAAACAGGAATATTATTACAGTTACCCTGTTACTCACCTGGTGGGTAAAAGGTTTAGGTTTGGTGTTACTACTTTTCACAGAGACCATCTGTTTCCTTGCAAAGGGTTTTACTGTCTTACACTACCTGGGCCTTCTGAATGAAGCCTCTTGTGATGAAGCATGTTTTTGTTAAACTCGTATTGATTTTGGTGAAATCTTCAGAAGGCGTGTTTACTCATCAAGGGCCGTGTGCTTTTGTCATAAATATGCCATGCTGTAGTTGCATCATCAATAGCTCCACTGGGGGAAGTACAAAATTCTTATCGATTTTGTTTAATGGAACACTTTTATGGTAAAAATTTAAAACATCTTCAAGTAATTTTATTAATGCCAGATCTATTTTTTTGTTTTCCCTGTCTTCAATGAACTCAAACATAAAGCATATTAATTTTCTAGTGACCTTAAGTAGCAGGAGCTCCTTTTTGCCTATTTTTTTTACAAAATGCTTTTGTATGACTAATTTTTTATGAACTACTTTTTTTTATGACTGTTTTTATAGTCATGTGGATTTTCTTTTTTAAGAAGTCTATGACACACCAAACTATATCTCCCAAAACAGAGTCCCTTCTCCTCTCTCTCTCTCATCTGAAAGCTGAAGCGTGGTTACCAAGAGGCCCAGGGGCTCATTCACCTCTCGTCTGTCTTTTTTCATTCTTCCACATTCTGACACTTGACAAAGCAGAATCCTTCTCAGAGTGCTTGTTCAGGATAGACAATCCCTATTCAGTGTTGCTATCTGATAAACATAATTTATATGTTTTGGGTATTCTTTTTTTTTTTTTTTTTTTTTTTTTTGAGATAGTGTCTTGCTCTGTCACCCAGGCTAGAATGCAGTGGCATCATCATAGCTCACTGCAACGTCCAACTCCTGGGCTTAGGTGATCCTCCTACCTCAGTCTCCCAGGCAGCTGGGACAACAGGTGTAGGCCACCATGTCCACGCTAATTTTTTTTATGTTTTGTAGAGATGAGGTCTTGCTGTTGCCCAGGCTGGTCTCAAATTCCTAGCCTCAAGCAATCCTCCTGCCTAGGCCTCCGAAAGTGTTAGGACTACAGGAGTGAACCACTGCACCTGGTCTTGTTTTTGGTATTCTTTAACAAATAAAGATTTTTTTGTTACCAAGGCTTTTAATTAAGGGCTCTAATGTTTGCCTGAAACCCTACAGTCCATGGCATCATAAGGTGATGACTGTCATGTTTTAAGCATTGATAGCCCCAAGAAATACAGAAACAATATAGAAAAGCATATTTTAATTTTTAAAAATTAAATTTTTTGATATTTTTTTCAAGATCTGTGGTAATTTTAGTAAGTATTAAAACCACTGGTAGAGTCATAATATTAGTTCCTATGCATGTTTTTCTGTTTTCTTTTTGTTGTGGTGGTTTGTTTTCCATTTTGGTCTTGAGGCAGGAGGAAACCTAGCTGTACTTGTGTCTGGGTTTGCACCTGTGAGCCTGTGGTGGTTTGGGAGCTGTGGCTCCAGGGGTTCTGCAGGTGATGAAGAAAGACATCCCCTTGAGCCCAGCCAGCCCTGAAGCCTTGTGTTCTTCCTGCAGGCCCATTCATCAGCGTGGTCCTGTCAAAGCTGGAGAACATGCTGGAGAACTCTTTACATGTTAATTTGCTGCTTATTGGGATCATTACTCAGCTAGCCAGCTACCCCCAGCCACTCCTGCGCTCCTTTCTGCTCAATACCAATATGGTTTTTCAGCCAAGCGTACGCTCTCTCTACCAGGTAAGTTAGCTGAACCCACATCCTTACCTGTTGCTTTCGTGGGTGCTAATTTGCAGGACTGCTTCTCTCTTTCCCTTTGTTTAGTTTTTCAAAAATCTCTCTGTTCTAATTCATTTGCTTTCCTTCCCTGTCCTATTAAGCTAGCTGTGTAGATTACTGTAGACAAACTGCAAAGCTTCATTTAGTTTGATGTTTTGAGGGTGCCCTACACAGACCACCCAGGCAGTTAAAAATGAACAAATGCTTAATGTCATAATAGTTCCTGTAACGAGGGCTATACCTGACAGATACATTGATAACAGAGGGTGGAATTCCACTGTGAAACGTTAACATCATTAATGCTGTTTTTGACAGGTCCTTGCATCTGTGAAAAACAAGATTGAACAGTTTGCTTCTGTGGAGAGAGACTTCCCGGGACTCCTTATACAAGCCCAGCAATACCTGCTCTTCCGAGTGGACATGTCTGACGTGACCCCTGCGGCATTAACCAAAGGTACATTACGTCCCTCCATCTCCCCAGCCTGCTGGTTTGGGTTCACAGACGCTGCACAAGAAGCATCCAAAGATACTTTCATTTTTACCCAACAAGGAGGAGCCTCCTCTTAGTGTCCTTAAACCTAAACAAAAATCTGCCTTGCTCACACTTGGCCTGTTCCCTCTTTGGAGGGCCTAGCAGGGCATTTGTCTTCCAAACCAAGAGTGGTTCCAGGGAGGAGCTGATGTGTGAGATGTTGTCTAGAATGAATAATACAGCATCTACGGGCCAGAAAGAGGCATTATGTGCACTCCCCAAGCCATTTTTTGGTCAACCCTGTCCTGAGGAGGGCATCTGTTCTTTTTAATGTTTCCAGAGGCTCTTGGGCCAAAAATAAATGTGCTCCAGGGCTCTAGGAGGTAAAAAACTGTTTGGTCTGGGAGAAGTAAAGTTTATGCTCAGCCTATAATTCCCAAGAGTTCCTTTTTATCAGCTTTAGAGGAGGTGTTGGGCAGCCTGGCAGTTAAGTGGGGGTGGGAGGTGGGTGGGTGCTGAGGAGAGTGAGAGTGGTCCTACTGTCTGCTGGGCCCACGGGCAATGCTGCTTTGCCTTATTTAAGTTCTGGTTGGACAGATTTGATGACTGTTGTCCTTTGAGCTGTGACTTATGCCTCGATGGGAGCAAACTAGGAAATGCCCCATATTGCAGTGGCTTTTACTTTTCCACACACGGACAAGTCAGGCTTCTTTGTGGCAGGTGAACAATGGAGAGAGTAGGGCTCTCTGTCCTGGGCTAAAGCAAGTGATCAGAAACAAGACTGGGAGTGAGAGTCAGAAATGAAACTCAGAGCAATTGTTTAACCTTTAAAAGAAGCTGGAAAAAAAAAATCCAGAACTCTGAAGGCTGGCCTGATCCTTCCTCTGTGTAGCTATTTGATCTTGGTCACTTTGCCTCACTAGGCCCTCTGTCCCTTGACTTTTAAATGAAGGATATGTTCTCCATCTCTCAGATCCGTTCCGGCTAAAGCCCGAACTTGAGTTGTGATGAGCTGCTAGGGTACTGCAAGGCAGAATTTGAAAGAAAGGGAGGCCATGGCCACTGGTGAAAGGGGCCAGGCTTTGACCTCTTAGACTTTGAGAAGAGCAGGCAAGACCATTGTGGAAGGAAAGAACCTTCCACATCTCCGTGAGAAGGTGGGCTTCAGGCCCCACGTGGCCTCTCAGCCACGTGGATGGTCTCTATGAGCTAACTTTCTTCTGAATAGAGAGCATGCTGCTATAACTCACCCTGTGAAAGAAGGTACATCAGTTAGCTTTTGTGCGTATCAAACCACTGCAAAAATGCATTGGCTTTAAACAAAGGCATTTCTGATTGCTTATGAGTCTATGTGGTCATCTTGGTGTTTTCTGATCTGGGCCAGGCTGATGTTGCCTGGACTCACTCGTATGTCTGCTGTCAGTAGGCGGCTGGATGTCTAGGATGGCCTCACTCACATCTGTGGCTCAGACCTGGAGCTTGTACAAGGTAAATTCTGCTGCACTCTGTTGGCCAAAGCAAGTCACATGGCCTGTGTGGACTCAAGACTGGAACAAAAATCCCACCTCTTGATGCAATATATTGTGGCCATTTTTGCATCTCCTAGACAGATGGTGGCTGTAGTGTTTTTACATTGTACTTCAGGCCTGGTCTTCATTTGTATTTTACAATTTATAAAGTGCTTTCCCAGGCAGTCAATTTTTATTGTCAAACAGCACTGTGAAATGGGCAAGAAAGGTGCCCTTGGCTTCATTTTCTTATGAGAAAGCTGAAATGAGAAGCCCAGGGTAGTCAGCCCAGGGTAGTCATGAAGCTCAAGTGCCTGAGTCTGTCCTGCCTAATTCAAGAAGACAGATGCACACACACTGAGCACTGAGCCTTCACCAACACGTTCAGGAGGGTGGTGGGGTCACTCACACCTTGGGCCTTGTCCTGGCTACACATTGTCTGGGGCCATGGCTGTAAGATGTGTGCGCAGGGGAACTTGTTCTCACTGCATAAGACTGTCGGATTAGTCAGCTGGGGTCAGTGCTTTTTAAGAAAGGTCTTTGGCACTCAGGGAACTTTGACTTGTAGGAAGCTTCTCTTGGGATGTAAGACTTTTTCCTTATAACTGAGTTTTTCAGATTAATTTTCTAACTTCTTTCATGTGAGCAAAGTGACACCCTCCCCCCAAGATAAAAAAAAATCTCTAAACTCACAGAATGGTCAAGTTTCCTATCCTCTTGTATAAAGCTGACTTTTGGATCTTTTGCCTATAAATGTGCCAAATCTGGGCTCCCTATTCTTACTGCGACACAGAACAATTTATTATTAGGAAGCATGGTAATGGGCCAGTTTCCAGGGTCTGTGTGCTGTACCCTTTGCCTAACACTGCACCAAGGAGAAGAACGTGTAACATCTCTCTCCTCACTTCTGAAATCTTCCCAGTATTGGTTTTGAAAACCTTTTATTGCAGCTTTTCAGACCCAAGGCAGCATTTCAGAAACCATTCCTAATTCTAAAATTTATTTATGCTTCCCTTCCTCCCTGCCTTTTTCTTAAGGTGCCTTTGAGTGCTTGTTGGACACTTTTATGAGGGGTGCAACACAGCTCTGGCCTCTGCAGTGGCAATGCTCCATCACGCAGATCCTGCATGTCCTTTGCCACCTGGCAGCCTCGGTGGAAAATGAGCTGCCGCACTAATAATGCTTCCAACAGCAGTGAAAGCCCGTGTGACCGCTGCCCCAGAGCAGGCGGCATCCTGGTGCCAGTTGCCACATTACTACCCTTGACGCTGCTGGACTCTGAGGTCCAGCCACTTGCCAGGCTTTTCTTTTTCTCTTCAAATACTTTCTAAACCATAGAGTTGAATACTTCAACCTTGAATTTTCTTATATTCAAAGTCCTTTCACTGCTTTCTAACTCTAGAAGGGAGGTCAGGTAGGCAATAGCCCCATTTCACAGAGAAACAAACTGAGGCATTACATGATTAGCTTTGGTTGTCAGGTAGGGACCATAACCCAGGGCTCCTTGCTTTTGAATCGAGAGCTTGATGGTGCTTGGTGCCAAACTGAAAGGCCAAGACCCCAGAGGAGAGCTGGGTTGATACATCCCAGCCACTGATGGAGCCACTCTAAAGATTTTCCCTACTAGTGATCTCCCTGCTGGGTGTTCTCCTGGCTTTATTAGTGAACACGGTTTTGATTCTTGGTTCCTAGCTGTGTAGATGAGCCTTAGCGACAGCTTGTTATTCATGTGGATCAAGCTACATGAATGAATCACAAAAATCCTTTTTAGGGGAGAAGAGGAGTGGATTGGAAAGAGGAAGGTGGAGATGAGGAATATAAGCAGCTCCAGGGAGGATCAGGAGTGGGGAAGACTCAGAAGGTCACCCCTTCACTCATTCATTCCACAAGTGTTTATTCGCTTCTGCTGCGAGTATGGAAGTGCGTTAGTGGTTGCACAAGATATTCATACATTGTCAGATAGGGATTCAGCCTCGAGAAAGCTCCAAGTCTAGTAGAGAAGACAGAACATCGATAATAGTGCAAGGTTGAAGGGCAGTGCTGGCCTTTGCTGGTCACTAACATGGGATGGGAGGCCAGGACGAGAAGTGACTTGCAGGGGCAGGAAACTGGAAATGCTCTGTGAAGTTAGTGGCAGCTGCCCTGATGATTTGTGATGGCTGACACTTATCTAGAGATCCCTGTGAACTTCATACCTATTGACTCATTTAATCTTTAGAACAACTCTATGAGCTTTTGGCAGGTGAGGAAATGAAAGTATAGAGAGGTAAAGCAACTTGCCTGCAGTCACTCAGCCAGTAAGTGGCAGAGTCTGTGCTCCTAACCACTGTACTAGTGCTTCTTAAGGTGGTAGGATTTGGGTGAGCAGAAACACGGGGCAGGGAATTCCAGGTGGGGGAATAGGCCTGCACAACACTGGTCTCGATCTGGGAGTGGGGTCCACGAGTGTCCCATTCCCCACTGGTGTGCAGGTCACCTTCCCTCCTGAGCTTTGCAGGGCCCTTTGGAGAGCTACAGGGCCTGGGGATGGGGAGGGGATGGGAAGGGGCAGTCTCCAAGGTTGACAGTGCCTTGGTGGAGTCAACCCCTTTGTCCTCACTCTGTGGTCAGGGTATGTGGCATCTGCAGAAACATAGCAGAAGACAGATTCTCACCGACTTTTCCAGTTTTTTATGGCATTAAAACTGTGATATGCCTTAATCTAAAAAGATATTTAAAGCAATAAAGTGGAAGATTTTTTTTTTAACACTAAAGACTATAGTAGTGAGATGTGGAAAGTACTATAAATGTCAAGAATTTTTAGTACTGCAGTTAAGCAACACTCTGGGAAGAGTGTTGAAAAATGGGACTGAATTCTAGAAAAGCAGCCAAAATAATAAGGAGCTTGAATATGATGATTTATAAGAAGGAATGGGACTGTTTGTGTAGGGGCAGAGGAAGGCATAAATAATTCCTACAAATATTAGTATATGTGGGCTGGTGATGTTAAGGAATGAAATAGTCAGGGAAGTTGAACCATTTTAATTAGTAAAAACTGATTTGATAAGAAAATATGAATCATTTGAATATGTTAAAGTTTGGGCTCATATCATCTTAGACCTTAGTTATTGAAACTGAGATGGAAACCCCTGGAAACCCTGTCCCCCCTGGTTGCAAGAAGTTCTTAGTCTCCAACTTCCTCTCCATTATTTCTATGGATCAAAAGGAATCTTCCACTCTCCTTTTATATAAAAGGTTAGAGATCTCGCTCAGAAGGAGACTGGGGGTCAACGGGGAGCCCTGAAGTCTGCAGCAGCAGAGAGTAGCTCATTTAACCCAGCCTCCCTGCCGTAGCTCTGCTCTGTGGCCAGGGCTAAACAGGCAAAGGGAGAGCGGTCACCCCGTACTGGGAGGCTGTGAGAGCAGGTGGAGTTCCTTGTCATCCCTAAATAAACATCCTGGCGAGCTAGGTCTTCACTCGGTTGATGCCAGTGGTAGGAGAGGCCTTTTTCATTTTTCTCCCCCACATTCTGGGCACGGGGGGTTCTTGACAGACCTATATTCTTGCCACAATTTTTGCACAAAGTTTCTTATACAGGATTTGGGGTAAAAATCTCACATGGAGGTTATTTGTTGCGCAGATATGTGTGTCACATAGTGCTTAAGGGCTGTCTTCAGGATTTAACCAGTTAGAGGAACTGCAACTGTGATTAGATACCCTCCACTACCCCTGCCTCCCAACACACACACTTCACTTAAGAGGGTGGACAGAGGGTCACTATGGCCGTCTTCTTTCTGGTTTCAGATCCCATTCAGGAGGCTTCTAGGACAGGAAGTGGAAAGAACTTTCTGGATGGTCCTCCAAGAGTACTTCAGCCCTTCTTGGCAAACAGAGGCAGAGTGGCTGGGGCACCTCCAAGCCTGCCCCTGCCTGTGAGGAACACCATGCTGGCCGCTGCCCTCTTCCCTGAGTTCCTGAAGGAACTGGCTGCCTTGGCCCAGGAACACTCCATTCTGTGCTACAAGATTCTGGGTGACTTCGAGGACTCCTATTGTTAGCTTTTTTTTTTCTTCTTTTTTTTTTTCAAAATAGAGGTTCTTGTTTTATAAGGTTTTAGTGTCTTGACTGAATGTTAAATGCAAAGCTGCTTACAAAAATTTCTACTTTGAAATTTCCTGACAATACTTGATTTGTGGGAGGGGAATTTTCTATATATCTCCTCTCTCTCATGCCGGGTCTTTCCACCTTACGTTGTGTAGAATGTAAGCCTCATAAGCTGATTGCTCCCTTGGTGGTTTTCTTTGCTCAGTTTTTCCTCCTTGCATTTTTTGGTGGTTATTCTCTCTGCACCCTTGAGTCATTCATCTTGCAGCTCAGATTGCATCAATCAAATATTGGGGCTCAGTGATTTCTGGAAGTGCTCCGTGTCAGAAGGCCAGCTCTTCAGCAGCCCATGGGAAGAAACACACCTGCCGCTGCGCAGATGCTCCTGCTGCCTTCTGCATTTCGGCCTCCATTTTATAAAAGGGAAGACTAAAGATGGAGCCCCCTTGCCTCCACACATAAGCACATGTCACACGTCCCTTTTAACTGTATTCCAGCACTTGTCTTCTGCCCAGCATGTTGCCTTATGGTGCAGGCAACTCCACCAGTCTCAGCTGTCTGCCTGGAAAGTCAGATGTTGTTGGAGAGAATTTGGGATGCAGAGAATTTTTCTTGTTGCTTGAGAACTTACTTTAATCAGTATGGCACTACCTAAACACTAAATGTAGCCTTATTTTAGTAAGATTTGCACAAAATTGGGTATACGTATGCAAACTGTTACTTTGGTTTTCAGGAGTTTGAGCAGATAAAGTATGGTATTATATACTATATAAGAACACAGCCATTGTTATTTTTTAAGTGTTTTATGAAAAGAAATAGATTAACTTGTGAAGCCATTTCATAGTGGGTTTTTTGGGGGAAAGTATGGAGTGGGGGAAAAAGATAAAGATAAACTAAATGCAGCCTTTAAAAACACTGGTAATTATTTAAAATTATGTTTGCTTTTGCTAACATGTTGCATTTTGTAGAGAGACAGGAAGCATACAGCCTACTTTGGGAGCTGGGATATAATGCAAACGAGTCTCAGGGTGTCCTGCAAAGCCAAGTGCCTGCTGGGGACTCGCTCCACGTGGAAGTGCTGCCTTCTGAGTAATGGGGTTCATTAGAAGGCCCCAACATGCTGTCTGTATTTATTCAGCCTGCTCCAGGAGACATAATTATACTTAGAGCCACAGCCATGCTAAACCACCACCAAGCAGGGAAACAAAGAATAAGTGTGGGCTAAAAATGAGACCATAAACAACTGATATTCATGGATATTAAATTCCACTCCCCTCTATTTTGGGCCCAGGTCAGCGGATGAGAAGCAGGTAATGAGCATGCTCTCCCTGTCTGGAGGGAAATTGAAAGACCGGGTTCTCTCTTTTTCTTTGTGGGCATCTCTGTAGAGCCCTGAGGCAGCGGCGGGTCGGGTGCTTGTGCCGTAAGAGCGCCTTTTGTTCTTAATCAGGCCCCTAGCGCGTAGGAAGGGGAATGCAGGAGAGAGTCACTTGTGGACACTGCAGAGCAGAGGCGGCCCTTTTGTGCTTCGGCTTTATAATGAGAACTTGAGAGGCAGCCCCGTAGCACAAGGGCACCAGGAGATCCCGCCTAGGTTGGGTGAGCTGTTAGGAGCCAGCCTCACAGTGGTTCATAATACAAGCAAGAAACCAAAGACACTACCTGTTCATCACACGTTTCTGTTTGTCTTGAGAAGTGGTTTGCTCAGCTGTGGTGCAGCAGCTAGAAGGTATGAGGCACGGCATTCTGGCCTGCTTGTATCTGCACTGCCCACATGTCTCCGTCAGAAAAGAAGGTAGCTTAAGGTAGAGAAGGAACAGTTAAAGGTGGAATTTAAGTTGTAGATTATTATCCTCTAACTTTGTTTTGCACAAGTATTTATCTTCTTGTTTGGACTTACCAGGTCACAGAATGCTAAAGTCACATCTGGAAACTGTGTTCTTTGGCTTTTTATTTGATTTACACCTCTCTCCATTATCCGGTGGTGGTGTCAGTTCTTCCTGAGTCTGTAGTTCTTTATTATAGGACACCGTGGTTCCTTTGTGCAACGTGCCCTTTGGGAAAGAGATTGATTTTGTGCCTCTTATTTTTTTCAATAGGTACTGAAGCAGATTTACTTTAAAGGAGGACAGAGATGACAGGCAGGAAAATGTAACTTCCCATGGTGGAGTCTGGCAGCAAATTCACACAATAACCCCCCCCCCAACTTCCTACTTGGAATTGGAAACAGGCTCATGTTTCTGAATCCATCGCAGGCCTCCTCCAGAGGGTTGTATCTGGGCTTTTGCAAAATGAAGTCAGAAAATTGACCTGGAAATACAGTATAGAGAATAGAAAAGCCAGCGTAGTTGAGTGAAATAACCAGAAGTGGGTTATTCAGGGCAGGGGATGGACATGCTAAAAGAAAAACAGCAGAGACCTGAGGCTACAGATAGAAGAGCAGATTCTGAAAGATTCAGGCGAGTGAACATTGGTCTAGGCAGATATGAGGACACCATGTAGCAGGCAGGTAAAGTAGAATATTCCACTCCCAAGACAAATAGGTGAGGCCCTTAGAAATATGGTTTTGTGTAATGAATTCGGGGGGAAATTTTTGAAGATATCTGGCATGCTTAAAATGTGGTCTGAGAGTGTTCCATATGATAGGCTCCCACATCAGTTGCTGTGCTACTTGTTGGAGGAACATGGGGGAGAGAGGAAGAGGAGGCACAGGCCTTTGGGGCAGCCCCGGGGCTGGTGTCGCTGTGGCTGGCCTGCTGGGCCTGGGCAGTAGAGGTGAGTGTGTCAAGGGTTGCTGGAACATCACAACATTAACCTCGATGCAAAATTCAGGGTCTGATTTAAAGTTCTAGACTGAGTGAATTTTGTGGCTCAAAACATATGAGAGCACTGGGATATTTAAAATTGATTTTTGGAAACGGCCAAGTAAATGTTTTTAAAATTTTAAACAAAGAAATTCAAACATAATTTCATGGGGGGAAGCTGTAATTTCCCAGCCATGAAATGGGGATGCTGGAATAATCAATTAGAGATGTGATTTTCTTTGTCATTAGATATTTCCTTTCCCTGGTATTTAGAGGAATTTTGAAGTTGTCCCCATTTTGCTTAGTATTATTTTGGAAAATACTTTGATGTGCTGAGGTTGGAGTTGATGTCTCTGTTATATAGAGGGAGGATGCACTCAATGCTTTTACAGGTACTCAGGAGGCTTTTATTTATGTCTGACGTACTTGTTGGTTTTAATCCATTGAGATACATGGAGCCAGGGTGTTGTCAGGAAAGCATCCTCTTATGAAGAGAATCCACAAACAGGTATGTGAATGTTTGGGTTGCCTATTTAATCTGGGCAGCCAGGGGCATGCAGGGTTGGAAGCTGGTTTCATTTTTTCTGAATCAGCTTGGCTGTAGTGGTCATGTGGGTTGATTCCCAGGTCTGTTTAGAGGTTTAGGGTTGTGGCTGGGCTGCCCCTTCTGAGTCTGGCTCAGTGTGTCTAGGTGGCCTTCAGTAGGGACGCACTGCCCAGCAGGGGTGGGACCTGACATTGGTGTGACGTTAAATATCTGCAAACGCTCCAGTCGTCATTTAAGGGTAGTTCAATTTAATTGCTAATTACCAATTCCGTGTTTACTGAAATGGCTGTCATGCTAGCTGTTTTTATGAAACACTGTATTGCAGGACAGCTATTATTGCATGTGCTATTTCAAGTCACTGGGCCAGGCCAATGTCATGCGTGGTTGCTGTGAAGCTCAGCCTGCTTTGCAGTATTCGCTCTTCCAGGAAACTGCAGTCCTCTTGGAGCTGAGGCCAATCAGCTTGAAGTGATTAAGAAGACACTCTAGGCCCCTTCTAGCTTCGGCTGTCAGTCTGTAAATCACATAACACTAATTCTCCATCAAATAACAGCTTAAAACAGAACACTGTCAAGCCAGTTTATATTCCACCCTTAAATCACATCATTGAGGAAATATTTTAAGAGAATGGAGTTGACTCTTTTTTTTTCCTTTTTCAATGACCATCATAAACCTAATGCTTTAGAAGGAGCTCTCAGAAGACTAAGAATGGTTTTCAGGATAATTTTGCCTCAGTAAATTCTCTCTACATCCAGGCATTTATTAGGCCATTACTTGTTTTGGGAGGACAGATTACCCTAGCAGCTCATTAACTGGATAAATAGGGCTTTAGTGAAAGATTTTTGGTGAGATTCTTTAGGACAGAGTGGGGAAGCCTTCAGTTCTTTGTCCTTTTTGCACATAGAATCCTGGAACAGATGATGATGTTAGCGAGGACTGACCTTTCTTATCCTGTCAGGTCACTATGGATTTTGTTCCTGTCTTAAAAGATGTAAGTAAACCTAACGCTGTCACCCACACAAGTAACAAGACTGCCAACAGGATTCCATCAGCATGAGTTCGATATGCATTTCAGGCATCTTTTGGAGAGTTTGGATTTACTTTATCATTTTAGCACTCGACAAAGGTGGTGGAAGCTCTCAGGCCAGATTATAAATTTCATGGAGCTGAGGCCGCAGAAGCCTGTGCTGCTTAGTGTGTCAGCTTACTTTTTATTGGGACAAGTCTACAAAAGGTCCACCTGTGAAAAGGCTACTTTTTGCCCTGCAGATATTTTAAAAGAGGGATGGTAGTGATGCCCTTACGTACATGACTTTTGCTAAGCTATCTGACTAAGGGAGGCCATGAGAGGGTTCCGTTTGGATGCTTCCATCTCACAACCCAGGGTCAGCGCTGCTCAAAAATAATCCACCAATGCGTTTGTCTAAAACCTGCCGTAGAAGCGTGGCAGCCACTTCCATGCTGCTTACGGTGATGGGTAAAGAACATGGCCTTTCAGGTAGATCTGGTGGTTTTTTTTCCAATAGCTACTATGCAGAATCCTTGAAACAATGCAGATAAAATTCAGTTGAAATGAAAAGTACAGTATACATTGTGGGTTGTGGCCGTAAGTGATATACTGAATTAACCAACTCAAAGCTGGAGGAGGCTGTGTACTTTCAAAAACTTCATGGCCTTCTTCCAGATTAGCAATAATTACTAAAGGAAAAAAAAAAAGGTGGTGGTGGTGGGGGGTTCCTAGCTAAAATATCCTTACCTTGGTGCAATAATGATCTTAAGTTCTTTTTCCTAGGACACCTCCATCTTGAAAGAGAGGAACAGAAGTTCACTTTGATGCATAAACTGGACTGAGATAAATAGCTCCTTTCTAGATCTGAATGACCCAGAATGTAAAAGCCTAGTGTAGTTAGTAGTTGGTATCACCAGCCTCTCTTACAAATGGGCTCCATAAATCCATTAATCTGTTTCATAAAGTAAGGGAACCTTTACTGAACACTTCCTCTATGCCAGGTAGTATGCGGGTGCTGGGGCTGTTCCTCCCGTCCCACCAGCCAGCCTCTTCAAGCAGCACATACAGTTTGGGCCTGACCAGACAGAGCTGGTTCAAGCCAGTTTTCCAGTACATTCCGCTTTCAGTCAGACCCTCCGCATTATACACCGGCCTACAGGTGTGTGGATTCTAATGACAGATGGCAATGGCTTCTCTATGGGGCCAACTCGTACACTGTAATAAGATTCTCCTAGGAATAGTAAACCCCTAACTAGACTAAATTCAGACTCACACAAGAATGTAAGATTGTATTTCACTACGGCCGTTTATGAGCAAAGCTGTACTTCGTGAATTTTTTAGGCTGTTATGTAAACATATCTCACAACTATCTCATCAGGCTCCATTCAGGGCTGTATTTTAGTTTTCTTCTAGTAGCAGTGGTAACGTACGAAGTCCAGTTTTCAGGATTTCAGAAGTTGGCATTCAAGACAACAGGCAGTTGTCAGAGCTGAACCAGAATTAGTCTGTAAAGATCAAGTGTTTTAGTGATGGCATTTTTCTCTGGGAATGATCCGTCCGTAATATGGTTTTCATTTGATATAATAGTTTGGGTAAACTGTCTTTGGCTGCATCCCCATTTAAGTAAGCTCTTAATTTCAAACGGTCTGGAAAGATTATTTCTTCAGTGCTTCGTGTATGGTTTAATCACCAAGAAGCCAGAACTTTTGGTGAAAATGGAATTTACAAAACAAAACCGAAACTTGTTTCTTAGAAAATAAAGATCCTGCCAGATTCCAATTTCAGATTACCTTTGCCCATTTGTAATTCAGTGACTTGCTGAGCAAGTAGAATTGATTTTACCTTTCTCTCTTATAGAGAGGTTTGGTAAAAATTACTTTTAGACCCAGTGGTTTTCCGTACTGCAACAGATCGTGGAACAGTTGTCTTCCTGGATGACGTAACATATTTTCTTATAATTCAAAGTCACTAATTTTTTTAAATGTTATTTTTAAAAAATGCCACCTCCCCCTTGTCTAAAATAAACCACACAACTGGTTTCCTTCCTTTCTCTCTCTTTTTGGCTGGGCAAGAAGGACACTTTTCTTATCACTATTTCTTAGGAAGTCCTGGGACACTACAAGGCAGGAACCATTGGTCGCTAAATTGGAATGGGGGGGGGGCCACTTTCCTCCAGTTCCGCAGCTGCCACTGGAGTACCCTTCACAACAGAAGCGTTTCTGTTGTTCTCAGTAGGCCAGAGAATTCACAGCTCAAAATCGGGGCCTCCAAAGAGTTTCTTCTCTTGCAGGTGTCACTGTTTGACAAGTATGCTTTTTAAAAACAGCATTTGCAAAACCGGTCTTTAAAAGCAAGCACGTGAGTCAGAGGTAACGAAGGCACATAATGAACAAAGGAGCGAGTGCTCCAGTGCAGTGGAAACAGTACTGTCGTGAGGACAGGAGCGCAGGCGGCCCAGCGTGCCTTGTGATGCTGTCAGCTGCACCGTGATTATTGTTAAAGGTCATGATTTGGATTTACTAGTTTATAATATTCTTTCCACGCAAAACAAATCAGTTTGATGTTACAGCTTTTTTTCTGTTTATCTTTTGTGGCCTGAGGATTGGAGGGAGTTGTGGGGGGAATTGTGTCACCTGCACAATCTTTGAAGTGTAAGTTAATTTTTTATGTGATATTTCAGCATATATTTTATTCATTAAATTTATTTGAAAACTTCTGTTGCATTTTTTTAAAAAAATTCATTTATTCTCTGATCTATGCCTTCTAAAATCGGTAGGGAGTTGAAGTGGCAATATCACTTTACTCAGTGGACCAGCTGGTTACCACAAATAGACACCTGATACTAATACTGATAACATTCTCTTCCCACACCCTCTTGAGACCTCCCTAAACATGTGTTTCCACTGTGCCAATTTATTTTATTGTGTTTTCATCTTCATTTACCTGTTTTTAGGTCTAAATATACTGCACCCAAATTATAGTCCCTTGATCACAGCTAACCTGCTAATGCCCAGCACCTAGAACAACGGCCAGCCCTTAGCAAGTGCTCAAAAATACTTGTTGAACGAACCATAGAATGAAGTTGTCTTAGAATGGTAACAGTATTTGAAACACACATTTTATTTAGTTTAGAATTACTAAACAAAAGAACGTGTTATTCCCTAACCACAGCTCTGCCATCATGATGCCTTTGCTGTCAGTGAAGCAAATGGGGTTGCAGCTGTGTTCTCTGTGGAGGCCGCGCCCCAGGCCCGGGGTCCAGAGGGCGAGGACTCGGGCAGGACACAGCTCGTGGAAGGTGTGGCTCGGGCTGGGGACTGCGAGATGCCAGCTCCCAGGGCACAGGACGTCAGCTTTCTCAGGGGCCGCTGCACCGCTCTCCCTCAGGCCGGGGGACAGGACCCGTGGCAGGACAGCTGCTTCTCCAGAGTCGCCTTTATCACAGCTGGATCTGCTCGGCTGAGAGTCGCCTTCCGGACCAACCCAATCAGTTTATTTATGGCTCTGGGGTTGCCCTTCTTCACATCCATTACCTTTAGAGATGGACATTGTTTAAGAGGAGAGAATGAAGAGACTCATACCTAGAAATCCCAAACTAAGGTTTAAGTTTACTGAAAATTAAATTCAGTTTCTTCTTCCCATTAGTATTAGATATAAAATGAGGAAAGGACAAAGGGAGGGAGCACTTCTGAGGAGGTTTCCAGGCTCCTGTTTTCAGAGGAGGTTTCTGCCACTCTGCCTTCTGATTAAAATGAATGAGAAGTGACCACCAACAGCTAGAGAAGCATGCGTGCAGGAACCAGCACACTCTCCTTTGGGGCGCCACAATGACACGAGGACACAGACTCCTAAGTGCACAATGCCCTGGAGATGCGTCCCGGCCCGGGCGGTGAGGACACCGCTCTGATTCTCCAGTGATGTTCAGCAGCTGCAGAAGCGCACAGCTTGCTTCCCCCCGCGCCGCCTGACCAGATCCCTTTATTAGAAAGCAGATCTATGAATTGGCAGCTCGTGCAGAGCCGGGGGAGGGGGGTGACGCAGGAGGCGCCGAGTTCCTGTCAAACAGCCCTGACTATCAGGCCGAGGGCTCCGACCTCCTGCTCTGCCGCGTCTCGGCGGCAATAATGGCACAGGACTCGTGGTGTCTTTATCAGTCACTACAGATGAGGCAGGATGATGGAGATTGCCGAGACCCCTCGCGGGCTCATTTTCCTTATCAAGAGCTTTTTACAGAGCTGTTAGTGTCCCTGGCAGGCTGATAGGTGAGTGGGTATTATTCTGAAAAAGATACTAACAATTATTTTTCCCCCAATGAAAAATACGACCAGACAATATGATTAGACTTGAGGAGGGAGGGTTGCCTCATTGTAGCTTTCCTACCTTGTGCTGTGCTAAGAACACAGAACGACCTGGTTTTTAGCCATGCTCCTGTCAAGGATTTTCTCCACAATTTACAAATCCTTTTTCCTTCTACCTTTCTTCCCACCTCTTAAAGACAGGAAGTTTCCGTATCTTCCCTGGTCCCCTGCAGCAATGCCTGTGGGTTTATGGAGAGGTCATCCTTACGAAGTAGAACTAGCCACACCAGATTCGAAGTGCCAACCCTGGGAGAGGGCAGCAGGCTGGGAGGGCAGAAACCTGGATTTCATGAGTGTGGCTCATGCCCCTTTAAACCACCCCTCGGTGGAGAGTAAACTCCAGAGTGGGAGGACTTCTTATAGGAAAAGAAGTTGTATTTTTCCATTATTCACCTAATTTCATCTATTTTGACCTTAACTAAAGAGCTGACAATAGTAATTAGGGAATTATTGATGAAACTTGGCCCCCCATTATTAGGAAGAGCCTCTGGGCTGCAACTGCGAGTGGCGGAAAGGCTCTTGGCTGTGTCTCTGGGCTGGCCCTGCAGGCTGCCCTGGCACCGCCCCCCACCCCCAGCCTGTGATAGTCACCACTTGAGGATGTCCCTGCATCACGGAGTGGCAGAGCTGTTCCAGTGCCTCTTGGTCCTGCATGAGTTCAAGCTTCTTTTCTGACACGATCTGCGCTGGAGTCTTCCCTTCATTCTTCCACAACTCCTCAAACACCTACAGGCCGGAGGAGAGAGAGAGAAGGAAAGAGAAGCGGAGTCAGCCCTTTTGCCAGCTCCGCTTGCTGCTGCTGTGGCATGTGCGGCTGGGGCAGGGGTGAGCAGATTTAATTAAGACCCAGCTGCGTGGGCCTGGCCCGAGGGGGGAAAGGGCGCCTGGCTGCCCCGCTGGCGCCCTGTCTGGCCCGAAAATCCCTGACAGACGGCCAGGGAACCAGGCCCCTCTAGATGGAGATAAACCCCCAGTTTCCTCCTGATGCTGAACTTCTCCCTCGGTACAGAGAAGAGAGGCCTCTGCATCAGCCCGGTGCCCACTGTGCCCAGAGAGATGGTGAGTCCCCCCCAGCTGCCGACTCAGACCCGGCTGCTCCCCGCAGGCAGAGGGGCCACAGAAGGCGTGGGCATGACCATCACTCACAGACTCCTGCTCACGGCAGTCAGAGGGCCCGTGATGGATCTGTCTACGTCCCCTGAATTAATTAATTGAGGTGACATTGTAGTGAAGGATGGGGCTCTACAGGCTGCAGGAAGTAACCACTGCACTTAAAGTCCAGAAGCTCGGCCTGCTGGGAAACATGACTGGGGGAGGGGGGAGAGGAAAGTAGCCCCATAATGAAGATACAAAATGGAGAGTAACTAAAAACCTACACTATAATCCACCGGGGGCCCTGGCCTACCACATAATCTCCTACAGGTAGGGCTGATCCAAATCTGACTAGGATAATTCACAGTTAATAGTCTGTGTATTTTTCTGCTTAAAAAATGACAACAAATCCCACAACTGATCAAACCTGGAAGAAAAGGAAAAGATTTTTAAGGAAGGCATTTTCTAGGATGCTTATTTTCCTCATGTTTTCTAGTGTCAGCCAGAGTGGGGGTGTCCTCTGCCAGCCCCCTGCTGGCACCGCCTCCCTCCAGGGCTGCAGTCACTACGCAGCACGGAGCCCTGCCTGTTACCTTGCCCCCACCTAGACGGCCCAACCGGGAGCCATTCATCCCTCCTGGAAAAACAGCCCTCTTCAAAAATTAGCACGTGCAGCAAAGCAATGTAGGGGAAGATGCTCTGAGGTTCAGCAGGGCTCAAAGTTTCCCCCAGTCAAAATCAAAACAAACTGCAAATATTTATCACGGGTACAACAGAACCGTACCTTCAGCCGGCTCATTAGAGCGTGCAGCAACCGTGGCAGGGAGGGGCGCTTGGTGGGTCCTTGTGCAAGGCCCCATGGGCACCCCTCTGGCCACCGCTGCCCAGCCCTGCCTGCTCAGGGAAAGCCTGCCCCTACGCTTACAAAATGCAGGACACACATGCCTCTAACTCGGTTCATCAAATATTCACGAAGCCTGACAATGAGGAAGGCGTTGAGAGAGGTGCACACAGCAGGAAGGATTTTCCCTGTCCTCAACACGCCTGTTCATGGAGTGTCAGCAGCACGGAGACTGTAGACCAGAACATTTTCTAACACAGTTTATACTTGGAAGCTGCCCCATAGCAAGTCTTAAGAGACTCTCTGCCCTCTTACCCTTACATGTTTATTTTTCTTGAATTGAAACTTAAATTTTTAAAAACATTTTTCTAATTATGTTAATACATGTTCACTGCAGAAAATAAGGAAATACAGAAAAGATAAAAAGAAATCACCTGCATTCCTGTTCAAGATAACCAATGCTAATATTTTTGTTTTTCCTTCCCATCTTTTTCTTTGTTTTGTAGCACAGTAACCATAAAGTGCGTACAATTTGTGTCCTTCCCCCCCCCCACTTACTACAGAAATACTTTGTTAAACAATGCAATATTCATCAGATATATTATCATAACTTAATTAAATCCTCCCCTACTGGGAGGTAGCTAGGCTTTGACCAGTGTTCATTTTGTTCATCTACATAGACCCCCAAAAAGCTCCTAGTTGAAAATGTCTAACATTCAGGAAGAGAAAGGTCTCAAAACAGAAACCACCAGTGAGGACTTGCTCATAAAGAAGCTACACTGTGACTCTTTCCAGGAACGCGGGGCGGAGGCACTCAGCAGACACAGCCTCGGCTGGAAGCAGGGCAGCCGGGCCCTCCTGGGTCCGAGTCTGTGCCCACATGGGGGAGTCTCCCAGCCTGCTGCAGGCTGGAAGCACAGGGGACACCGAGAGCCGAGCAGCCACCTCTGCCAGGCCCTGGTACCGCTGCGGCCTGACGGCTCAAATGCTAGTTGGATTTGCCTGGGCCCAAACCACCGGAATGGTGGCGGTGTGCTTGGGGCACTTCCAACCCACACGGTTCAGAAGGCAACACAGTGCACCGCCAAGACAGATGCTTTTAAACGCAGTGAGGCTGGCTGCTGGCTGAGAGGGTGGGGCAGGTGGGTTGGGGCACAAAGCAGTGACACCACAGAAATGTCATTCAGCAGCCTCCAGGAACAAAGGGGAGCCCTTTGTTGCTCTTTACTCCCAGAGTCAGGACATATTAACTTCACAGTTAGTGAAGCGGCCACTACAGCGCAGACCCCCAGCTCCCTGGGCTGACACAGCCGACTCCAGCTGTCCCATCCGCTGCGAATTCCTATTTAAAACAAGGACTGTGCAGTCCTGGCTGGAGCCAGCAGGGTGGGAGCCACAGAGCTGGGCAGGCCCTGTCTCCTGGCC